CACATTATTTCTGCAATTACGTTCAGCTTGTTGTTCACATTCATCTCTAAACATAGCCAGCCAGTCTAGGTATTGTCCACCAGTAAGAATTGCTCTAGCCAGTTGTTTCCAATCTATAGGACAGTTCATTTCCATGCTAATTGTTTCAATTAACTGTTGTGCAAACGGGCCTTGAAGGCCGTCTTCCCTAACAGCTTCTCTCAAGCATTTAAGAGTAGAATGTTCACGAGGATACCATCTTAAAGGGCGTGCAGGATTTTCATTTACATTTACAGGAAACATATCATTCATTTTCCCATTGTTCCCAATGTCTTGCTTGATTATCTCTTATTTTACATAGTCCTTCGTAATAATCATCCCATTGGTGAGTAGGTTTTAATTTTATTTTTTATTATGATATTCCTCCCATGGATTTTTAGGGTGTGATGTTATAGTATGGTCAGCAGGTGGCGCTGCAGGATAAGCCGGAGGCTTGTCCCAATCAAGTTCTGTCCTCACTATGGGGCAGGGCTTATTGGGTGATAAAGAGGGAGTGGCCTGGGGTAAAAAATTTTCATTTGGCACCATCTTTGGTTCTTGCTTTAAGGAAGTGAGTGAGGGGTATATTTTCCGTGGTTTAGGCTGAGGGGTCAAGGGCTTTACATTATCTGGTTCAGGGTTTTTTTTTGCATTTGGTTCAGATAAGAGGGGCACCGACAGGGACAGATCTTTTTTGAGCTGTTCCGTCAGGGAAGGCTCAGCGTCTGGAGCTGCCCCAGCACAAGCAGCGGAGTCTGCTAGGAGAGGAAAGGCTTCTGAATCTCCCCCGTAATGCTTTCCGAGCCTGTTAAGCAAGCTCTGATAGTAAGTAAAACTGGCTGGAGTCCTACGGGAAACATTTTTCCTTCCTGTGGGTCCCACATATTAGCAGTTTTCAGCCAAGGATTAAAGGGAAGAAGAATCTCCCAGTACTGGGAGATGGTCTTATAAGAGATTTTACAATGTCTACCCTGTAAGAGCACAGCAAGTGCCCGTGCCTGCAGGGGCTGGTCCTTACGAAGCGCAGGGCCCATGATGTGGGCGAAGGGGGGAGCACTTACCGACTCCCAGGGAGCGCGCAGGGTCCCTGCTCAAGGGCGCCACTTGAGGTTGAACCTCCTTGGGTCTAGGGACCTGGGCCCGTGGTAAGCGGCGACGGTGAAGAAAGAGGACACCGGAAACCAGGCTGATGGCGCAGATCCACTTTATTGCGGAAGTAGCAGGCATTTATAGAGTAGGCTAGAGGCGTGGCAATGTAGGCGGGTCAGGGGCGTAGTTTGGAGGCGGTACTTTTGGCTGGGGGCTGTGTGGAAGCAAGAGGTCAGAGCGGGACAGCCTAGGCAGGGCGTTTACTTGGTTTGCCGAGGAGTCTGAGTTTGTCCAGACTCGCCTTTCTGCCACGGCTGTCAACCAGACCTCTGGACCTCTCTTTCCCACACAGGGAGACTGTTGAAACCCCACAGGACACCAGTCAACCAATGTACACTGTGGTAAAAGACGGTCACTAAAAAGGGAAATGTACCCATAGTTCTAAGGGAAAAAATGTGGTCCAGGAAAGACCATGAGCCATCCTGGCAGATTACCTAACTGGTAGAGGAAAAAGCTAAAAGAGCTGAGAGGCTCTAGCCATAACCCCAAAAGTAATGCCTGAGGAGCCTGAACTGACCTTAACAAATTAGATCAATATAGGTTACTTTTGATTAACACAAGTCTCATTTTAAGTTAGTCTTAAACACCCAGCAGGAAAATATGACCAAAATTATATATAACACTGGCACTGCTGTACATGTTTCCAAGTCTCTTTAATATGGTAACTTTTTGCATTCAATTTGATGGATATTGTTTGGTTATTTGAAATATCTAAGGAAAAATCTGGCCTCTCAGACATGTCCCTAGAAAGAGTAACCATTTCAGTTAATTATGGATATTCTTTGATAGTATGACCAAACTCAGCAAGTTTTAACCACAATTTGGAGTTAAAAACTATCAGGAACTTTGTGTACTTTGTTACAGAGACTCACCGGTTTATGTTGCTCTTTGAAGGGTTCTTTTACCCATGCATGACTTTGTAACTCTGACCATTAGTCACCTGGAAAATACTGGCTGTCACTCAGATCTTCCAAATGCTGACATGTTTCATTATACGTATCAAAAAATCACATCCATTACTACCTCTATAGATCTCATCAGGAAACACATTCTTAGGTGATGCAGATACTGTTTTACTAAAAGGGAGTGGTGGTAAAAATGCTCTAACTACTAACACCATTTAAAGTCTGGTCTGAGACTTGCTGAGACACTATCAACAAAGATGTCAAAATAGTCAAAAAGGAAAACATATCTCACCCTGAAAGTTGTGAGTTTGAAAGCCCCTGGAAATGGTTGTGGGGAAGCCCAGTAGTCTACAGAACCCACTTCTGAGAACCACTGAGGTAGATATTCCCTTAGAAAATACAATTAAGAAAAAATGAGAAATATATATTAACATCAGGAATAGTCTTATGATGAAAATTACTTATTTTCTACTTGTAGTTTGAGAAATTCTAACATATTTATAATTATACACATATATAGGAATATATATTTATATATAAATGAATCTAAATATGGCAATCAAGCCTGGTAGCTTACGTTGAGGATTAGAATCTTGGCTCCTCTTTGAGGCTGAGAGCTTACAAAGTTATCCTCTGTCCCTCAGGTTCCCTATCCATAAAATGAAGATGAGGATGTAAGTACTCTTCTGTCCCAAGAAGATTTTGTAAAAATTAAGTGAACTAATCACTGTTTTAAAATGTCTGATATGAAGCCAGGCATGATGGCACGTATCTGTAATCTCAGCAGTCGAAGGGCTGAGACATGAAGCTCACCATGATTTTAAGCCCAGACTGGGTTATGTACTGAAGAGAAGGCCAGCTTAAAGAACACAGTGAGGCCCTGTCCCAAGCAGGGTGTGTGTGCACATATGTGTTGGGGGGAGGTTGGTCTGACATGATAATCTGTACAAGTGATATCAGCTATTAAAAGAATTCTGTTAAAGAATATGAAATGTCCAATTTTCTAAGATAGTGTAGATGACAAACAATTGAATGAAATGAGAAAAATCTATCAATTTGTGGAATAGCCTGAATGTTGTGTCCTTTCCCAACCATGATCTTTTATTTGCTCTTCACAGTCTCCCTCATCTCTGCACATGCTGAACAGATCCCCAGTTGTCCTTTATCTTCAATAAATATAAGTCCAGTGCAGCTCAGTTTAACAACTCATTTCCCACCTGCCCTCAGCTGAGATGAGCTTGCTGGTCTTAGCAGTAGCTTCAAGGAATTACCTGTTGTTTAACTTTCCACTGTCCTGCATTCTCAGGACAAGATAAGAGTGGGGTCAAGAACAATCCTCTCTTGACTCATCTGCAGGTCTAGTGGAGCCCTCTGTAGTCACCGCCTCTCCCACATGGACTATTTGGAGCAGACCTCACATGTGGCAGTGCCTGCATGCAGTCTCTGTCCCAGGATGCAAGACAAGTGGAAGCATTTGATTCCACCCTCTGGGGAGCACAGCTTTGACCCACAGCTAGACATTTGGTAATTCCCGCTGCTGGAGCACAGCACTGGCAGGACAGCTCCAGCCTAGATGCCTCACACAGGGTCACTGTTCTGGAAACAGACTAGCTTTGCCACACCCAGCTGAAGGGTACAACACCCTTCTTCCTCTCCTCCTCATCTCTCCAGTCTCTTTGGAGGTGTCAAAGTTGCTCCAGTGACACTCCTTGTAGGCAGGTGGGGGAGGTAGCCAGCTGGGGATTGGTGCAGAAGGAGGCTGGTCAGGCCTTCTTCACTCAGTGCAACTACAGCACTGGGAATCTAACCTACTGGGAAGTGGAAGCACGGAATGGGAGTGTGATGAGCTTTTCCTCTGTGACTGTGGAGTGAAGAAGCAGGCCAAACTGAAGCAAGTGCCAGTGACAAAAAGTCTAACATAAATGTATGCAAGAATCATCAGAAGTTATAGCTGTGCCAAACTGGATAGACAAGGACATAAACTTCCTCTACTTTGGGAGGCAAAAAGTGCATGAGTGTGGCTGAGATACTGAGGGAGAGGGACAAACTGATAGGAGGTTAGGCTAAGACCCAGAAGTCCCAAGAAATTATTTTATTAAAAAAAATACAAAAATACAGAGAGGGTGAAAATAATATAATCATGTAATTCAGAGAATCTCATCTCTGAAAAGACAGCAGAGTAGTAGGAAGTCATATGATGTATGGTGAATCTCCGTGTTTCAGGTGGTGGACAAGAGCACTTTTAGAGGCAATGGCAAAGCAAAGAAGAAAGAGGCTGATGCCACACTATCAGGCCTATAGAACAGTTTCCAAGGGGCTGACTGCACCGAACAGCCAAGCTGACCTGAATCCCCAAGGCAGTCACCACTGGCAAGGAGCAGTCTTGATATACAAAAGAGTTCTTAGCAAAGAAAACAAAGTGCATAGTCCCTCTGGTAGAAGCATGACTGCTATGTTCAAGAAACAAGAGTGATGCCATTTTGTAGCCTAAAAGCTACTGTAGTACCCAATGGCACAAAATATTTGTCATCTGAAGACAGCAGTGTTTTACTGAATTATTTTAGAAAATGTTCAACAACAAAGATAACACATGTAAACTCTGAAATACAATAACTGCAAAGGAAAATTAAGGTTTACTATTATTAGTTTAAAATCAGTACTAACAGAAAAAACAAAGGAGCACTCCTAAACTGGGAGTGGGGTGTTAAGTCTGAAAGCCTAACTCTCACTCTGTCCTTCCTGTAACCCCAGAACCCTGGCCTCAGTGTACAGAGTGCAGCACCAGAGAGGACCCCAGCTCCCATGGAAAGGTTACCTAGGCAACAAGACTACTCATCTTGCTTGACAGCTGCAATTAACTATGTTCCAAGACATATTCACCTGCAGGGCTGAGGGACTCCGGTAAAGCACAACGACAATTACACTAACTCAAGTTTGAATAATAAGCATCCCTTTATTTGCTGACTGTCATTACAAAAACCGATTACATTAGCAACAAAAGTGTCTTCTTGAGTTGATGTCAGAGGCAGTTACTCCCCCAAAAGTGTTAAACAGTGTACAACATCAGTATTAAAATGTTAAACTTTACATTGTCTGTACCACTTTGATCTTCTGAACAACTGAATTGAACAAAATAAGGTAAAAGATTACATGTTTATTTTATCTTCAGGAATGTAAAGTTCTAATTATTCAAACAGTTTTTATTATAAAACTAAACTCTGAAGGTGTCTACAGAGTTGGCTTTTTAAATTTTTCTCTTTAAATCAGTAGTCTAACAAGGATTAGAAAAGACAAAACTGTGTTCAGTGTTTCTGACAGTAGAAAGGGTGAAAACATAAATAAGGCTTTAATTTGGCAAAATATAATACAGTGCCTTCTGCTATCCTCAATTGAACAGATTCCCAATTACTTCATTCTGTAAAAGATCAGAAAGAAATCCATTTTAAAATAAAGCAACAAAAGCCAAATCAGAACACATTTTCTTTGTACATATTCCACTTGACATAGCACAGCCCTTTCAAAGCAATTCATGGTCATGGTAACCAAAAAATACTTTTTCAGGATTCACAAACTTTTAGGTAAATATTTTACACTGTGAGCCAACATTTAAGAGGCCAACACTGCAAACCCATTTTTTATTAGTTCTACTCAAGAGAATGTCAATCTAAGGATAGTGAGAAGCGTTAGAAACAGACTCAGAAATTTACAACTCTCTATCCATCAATAAATACTCACAAGGTCTAAAGGCAAGAGGTATTTGGCAATCTTGTAATTTTTGATGCTCTACAGCCGAAGCCCTCCTCTAATAATACCAAGCCCTGTTGACCAACGTCAGCACATTTAGCATAGTTCATACACACTTCTAATATCACATCACAAGCCATGAAGGGCCTAGACTAGATCCACGTTTAGAAAACTATTACATGTCACCAAAAGTGGTTGCTTTGGGCAGAAGAAGCCATTCTAAATGGATAAAGGAATTAACAGGAAGGAAAGAAGTCAATACTGTGATGTTTCTTATTATAAGAATCCTGGCACCTGGCATGGTGGTGCACGCCTGTAATTCCTGCACTCTGCAGGCTGAGGCAGGAGGATCCACAAACTGGAGGCCGGCTTGGGCTACAAAATGAGTTCAAGGCCAGCCTAAATTATATAGTGAGATCTCGTTTAAAATTTTTTTAAAAAAGGAATCTTTGTTAAATAGGGAAATGAAAAAGTGTGCTGAACTGAAGGAGAAACAACACTAAAGTAAGACATATGGAGCACACTTTCAAGACTGGACAGCAGGAGCATCTAGAGAGAATAAGGCTGAAGCTATGGGAAGGAGAGAAGAAAGAGCTGCACCAAGAAGCAGAAAACAGGCTGATCCCCAATTTGGGAGAGGGGTAATATGGCAGAAGTGGGACTCCACAGATTGGAGAGGTTAGCTCACAAGGGTAAAAGACTGAGATGAGGTGTTATTACTACTGCTGATACTTAAGAGAATGAGAAGGGTTTATTACAAATCCTCTGAAAGGTAACTGACCTAAATTAGCATTTTAAAGAAAAGCATGTACTGAAATAGGCCAGAGGGGGGAACCTATAGAAGCGAGAAGGTATACCCTACAACTTCAGGAAGTCTGTTATGGCTTGTGTCTCCATGTCCCCCTAACGCCTCATGCAGTCACAGGTGGGGTTTGCTCACAGGTGACCAGATCTAGGCTGTGTGATTACTGAATTAGTCCACTGACCTGTTTGGCATAGTTCTGAGTATGAGTGCTACCTAGCCTGAGGGCAGGTAGCCTAGACAGAATATAAAGGAACAGAATGAAGCTGCTATGGTCACTTGCTGCCTTCTGCCTGCCCTATTCTGGCATGTACTGTTTCTCCTCTGCGATGCTCCTCTGCCACATCACCCTGCCTTGGAGCCAGAGATTATGGACTGAAACCTCGATAAACTATGAGCCGAAAGAAACCTTTTCTCCTTTAACTTTGAGTGTCGGATATTTTATCTCTGCAATGAGAAAAAAAAAGTAGGACAAGGCCTATCATCTTTTTCAAGACACCTCACCTACCTCTGATGCCTGTGCAAAGGCATCAGTCTTAGGTATGCATTCTGAAAGGCACAATTCAATGAGTTGCCTCTTTGGGTCTACAGAACAACATGATTCTTCTAAAGTAAAGAGGCTCAAAAGAATAATACCTGAGGTGTTCGTAAACAGACTCAAGAGAATAATATCCGACATCTTCAGGGTACTCAAATACTCTAGGCAGCATAATTTAAGTCATTAAAAGAATCAGTAAAACCCTGGTAACAACAAAAAAAATCTGTATTCACCAGTTAAAATACAAGTCTTTAAGTGCTAATTAATATCTGAGCTTTTCAAGGTAATCCAGGCAATAAAAGCTTATAACTTCGTTAATGATAGATTTATCCTCAATTAACACCCTTAGTTCAGGCATGAAAAGAACCTACAAAAACAAATAAGGAAGTCTAATACTCCTACAGGTATGCAGTAAATTTTGTGTGTTCTTTTCCCGTTTAAAAAAAAATGTGATGACTTGATTTTCAGCAATCATCAGTAAAAACGTTGTGGTCACTTCATTTTACGAAGTCATGAACAAAGGGGGAAGGAGGAGATACACAAATACTTCCCCTGACCAAGGTCAGAAGAAGCTAATGATGTTGTAGGCATTATGGCAACAGACAACCCTGGGGTGCCAAGCCACAAGAGTTTATTTGATGTAAAGATCAAATTTAGCAAAGCTAAAGTTTTGTCCTTTCCACACTAACAGGCCTTCAAACTATGCACAAGATGGAAATAAAACTGTACAGAAGGTAAAGGCTGCCATCTGGAAGTTCTGAAAGAAATAAGGGAGTATTTCCTTTGGTAAAGCAAATTTTCTTGATTTGTGGTAAATACAAATCACACCTATCTCTCACTCACTACTGCATCAATGAATACAAAGCAATACTTCATTTATTCTTACCCAAACCTGGTAGTGTCATTTCTCCTTTGTGAGCTGTTTGTTTACAGCCTGAAGCAACTGCTGTAACTGTGCTACAGTCTGATTTAGACTTACAGACATCGTCTCTTTCTCAGAGGACTCCTGGGAAGGAGAGAGCAGTGATGGAAAACCACAAGGGAAAGAGTGAGCAACTAAAATCAGACAATACCTTATTATTTCAAATACAGACATGAAATTTTGAAAAATGACATAAAAATTAGCACCAGCAAAAGCCAAATAGAGAAATGTTAACTACTGGTTGGCATCAAAGAAACCAGTTGGCATCAAAAGAAAACTATGCTGTAGTAAATTCTGTTCTTGGCCACAAAAGGTAAAATCTACAATCTATGAGTATCAGAAATAAATCTACTTTTCCTTTCAGAAAAAAAAAATTTAAAAAGTCTCTCCAGTAAATCAGAGCTAAAAGAGCCCTTCTTGGGTGGCCAGCAGTTCTGAGTGCTGGTCCACTACTGTAGGCATCTACACTTGAGTCCAACCCCCTCACTGGCGATGGAAGCCTCATGCATGCTAGGGAAAAGCTACATCCCAGCCCAGTATTTTACACATTAGCTTATTTATTCCTGCCAACAACCCCACAGGACAGGAACTAGTATCATTACCTTGTATGGATGGCCCAACCAAACCTCAGAGCAACTAGGAATTTGCCTAGTCACATATGAAGGTACTAAGTAACCAGGTTAGAATTCATCCATAAGCAGTTTACATCCACAGTCTATACCCTTGATTAAGAACTACACCACAGCACCTCTCCACACAGATCTTAAAAATGGACACAATATCTGACTAAACTGAAAAGTAAAACAAATAGCAATGAAAACAGTGCACTGTGGAGACAGACTATGTTGAATAGAACTTTCAATTCCATGTGGAACACAGGGGTTGGGGTTTAGCTCAATGGTAGAAGGCTTGCCTCATGTAAGCCCTGGGTTTGTGTACTGACACTACAAAAAGCCAACCAAACAGAAAAGGTACAACGCAACTGGCAAAAGCCCATTTTTAAAGTCAGAGATGGATCTTGCAAATATGTATTATTCACATAGTTTATAAGGTAAGTGGCCTAAGAATCTGCAAACTGAAGAAAACTCATACCATTTCTGAGGAAACATCACTATTCTCAATAACAGTATCTCCAGCAGCTTGTACTATTTTTGACTGGATAAGATCCAATGACTGTTGAGCCTGTAAGAAAAGCAATACATATAAGAAGTATGCTTAGTTGTATGTTTTGTACAAAATTAGAGTCCTCTGAAAGTACAATACAAATTGACAACAGCTACATCCCTTACCAGATTATGAAAACATATGCACACTATTTCAGAAAGTTTAAATACTGAAAACTGTATATAGAAATTTTAAATAAGAAATGACCATGGTTGATCTTTACATAGTATTAGTCTAGAATAGGGGTCACCCAAATCTAGGATGTTTTTGTACAGCTCAAATCTAATATTTAATATTTTTAAACGTTTTTAAAAAATGAAACAGACAAGAATATTCAAGAGATTGCATGTGGCCCACAAATCCTAACATTGTCCATGGGTTTGCTGACTCCTAGTCTAGACCTCTACGTATGTAATATGTACTTAGAGAAAACTGCCAGGAAATTTTATATAAATGGGCTTTATATATGGCCTTGTTCTTTATATATTGTCATGTTTCTATAAGTAGAAACATGATGCTTTATGTTTGTCTGTTTCACAAAGTCTTTTGCTAACTTTTTCAGTCAATAAATATTTTGTGCATTTCCAATCAAGTGTTTCACAGTACTTCTATTATACAGATACAGGCAAGTGACAGCTGCTGTCATCATGTTTCAGGTGTCATAATTAACACTGTCAGTCTATACCACTGAGCATCTGTTTAATATTCTGAAAGGACTTTGAGAAACTACATTGCTAGGCTAAAATTGCCTGTTTCCTATTTTTCTCCAGAGGTCAGAAATGAAAATAACCTATCCAAGTAAATTCAGAACTCAACCTTGGCAGTGTTATCATGCGTCAATTTCTCCTCTAAAGCAAACTTCTTAAATTCACACTTTATCTATATTACAATAAAATGAAGCACTTGTAATTCTTAGACTTTTGCATGACAACAATCGTAAGGTTTAAGCAAACATAATCAACAAAAATATTTCATATTTTAAAAGGTGATACAGCTTTTAAATAAGATACTTTTAAAAAACTATTAGAATACCATTTATTTATTTGTTTGTGCTGGGAATCAAACTTACAACCTCGCGCTAGCATGCAGATGTTGTGCCACTGAGCTATATCCCTGGCTAGAATACCAAATATTTAAATGTTTGGAGTCTCCAATACCGGTGGGGGTGCAGGTAACAGAAACTCTCAGACCATGCTGGGAAAAGTATAAATCATTCCTGGTTTACAGTAACTATCAAAATTTTAGATGTGCATACCCCTTGATTCTGCAGTTTCAAGAAAGTGACATACTTTTTTTGCTAATGACTGTATCTCCCATAGCTCACAAGTAGCTCTGAAGAAAATGTGTATGAACCATACCATTAAAAGTATCACAATGGAACTACAAAGAAATGTTAAGCTAACACAAACAAATATAGTCTTGAAAAAAAAAATATAACCAAATTTAAATAACTGCAATTAAATTTCAAATCTTATAAATGCGATGAGGTGAATTTAAAAAATGAAAAAGCACGGCAAAGCTTAGCTCCAATGAAGTAACTACACAATAAACAGCTTCAATTTATAAGGGATGCAAAAGAACAAGACCAGAATTGACAGCACGTTGACTAAGATATGAGGGACAACACAGGCTCGTGACACTGCAACCCTCCCCGTCTATCAGTGCCTTACCTTGTGCAAGTCACCTGCTACCTTTTGTCTTTCACTTTGTTCAGTTTTAAGTTTTGTGTGAGTTTCATTTAATTGTGTCTTCAACTGTAAAAATAAAAAACACCACTTACTTTGCACCCTTCCTTGATTATGCTGATACCCTAAGGATTAAGAATGAATACAAAAGAATGGGATTGCTAACAGTTATGCACAGTGGATTAGCCAATATGCTGCACCAGATGTTTCCATCTGTAGAGCTAAACAGAAGAAAAGCTACGGAAGTGAACTACAGTTTAGAGTAGAAAACTGCAAATCCAAAAACAAAACCATCAAATTCCGGTAGCCTTTCAAAAGAATCACTATCCATAAAGTATTCATTGAAGTTATTTCAAACTAAAAGGCAAATAGAAATTTCACTGTTTTTAAAGGCCTTCTTAACTTATATAGCTCAATTTAAAAGACTCATTTGTACAATATTTTAAAGACACCGAACAGAAGATAACAAATTCAGTAAGATGAAGAAACCTAAATGTTGACTGTCCTGTAAAGACCTCAATAAGAAGAGCGGTGCAAGACCATACTGATCTAAAATACATCAACAAGGAATGTCTTAAGCATGAACTCTCAATAACCACTTTTTTTTGGTAGTGAGTTGAACTCAGGACCTTATGCTTGCCAGGCAGGCACTTGTGCCACTGAGCTACATCCCTGGCCCCTCAAAAACCACTTTATTAACAGTTATAGTGCGTGGAAATCCCACTGCCTCTTCTCTGACAATTGCTCTAATTAGACATAAGGGAAATGCACTATGTTGCCCTCAAAATACCGAGCACATCCAGTCAGCTCTCCCATCCCCCATCTACAGGCATGACTTTCTTGTTCTGGGGACCTAAAAGGGAAAAATGTAAGACAGCAACATGTACAAGTGGGAGGGATGGTGAATGGGAGGAATTCCAACCTGGAAATCTTATGTGGGGGAACGCTTCTTAAATACCAAAACAGGCTTTGCTTCTTCACTTAATCCTGAGTTTAATCCTCTATGTCACAGAGATCAGTCTCCCAGCCCCAAAACAAAGAAGTCCCACAGGCAAAATTATTTTAACTTAAACTGTGGCAACAATTAACCTGAACAAATAAAGATTCCAAACTTAAGACAAAAGAGAAGAAGGGTGTGGGGAGTACCACTTAATTTGGTCTCCTGTTAAGAAGTAGAGCAGTAAAAAAAAAAAAAACAAACAACAAAGAGAATGTTGGGCTAAATGCAGATGAACCTATAATCCTGTGTATCTGATGCAAGGCTGAGCTCCAAAGTTAAAACCAAAGTCTCCAACACCTAGTTAGAGAGGATTTTTTTAAAAACGTGTTACAGGTTATAATAGTGGTATATAATGGTATATCTTAGTCCTGATCTAGGCAGTGAATAGCAAACATGTACATAAAACTCATCTTACACTGCAGTGGACATGAATTCAACTAAAGTATTGATAAGACAAATATTATATTTAAAAAATAAAAGTATGTGTAGTGCTCTATATATATTTCCCATAATATGCTGATTCTCATGGATCACTGCCATAACACAGAAGGACAACCACAAATGAATGAGTTGAAAATTTTCCTTGGTACATGTAAAGTGCTAATAAGAAAGTTCCAAGCTGGGTAGGATAATCTGGGGTAAGGAAAATATTTACTGTAATTTCTCTAACATACAATATATTCTGCTATTTTTTTAAAAAAGCTTATCCTGTGCTATAACAACTTTCAAGTTAGAAGATGTAATACATGTTTGAAACAGGGAAGAAGGCAGCCACACCCATCTCACAGCTAAGTCTGTCAACAGTAAGTATAAATTTCTAGAAAATTTAAGAACTGGAATGCAGGGAATCATGTCTTAAGACATTTAACTAACCTCTAAGTCTGTATTTCTGGATTACTATGTGCAAAATAATATGCTGATAAAGAACTTCACAAGCTCTTGTGTTTTGTAATTTACAGGAAGTCTAGAAAAATAAGGTGGATTGGACTACTACCCTAGAATGAAGAGCAGGCATTTTCAACCTTCAGTAATTGTCTCCCAGGTTAGAAAATGAGAGGGCCAGTTAACTATGACAGCTTGAGAAAAGAATCTTCACAATTCAGCCAATCATTTGTTTTGTTTCTTTATTTGCTAAAAATAATGTTGTTCAAGAAAGTAAGCTTCATAAAAATGCAGGAAACTTTGAAAAGAAGTTGAAAGCCAAACATGCCATTTGTTAGGAGCTGAGAAAAGAATCATTTTATGAGTCAACAAAAGAAAGATCATCTTAGCAGTCATCCAGAATAAGATTATCTTAAAATTTATAAAATGCCAAGCTATAGATGGTTAGCAAGGAACAAAGTTTGGATGGTTTCTCCACGTGTCAACACAAGTGTTTCCAGAGCCTACTTGGTACCCAGTGCAGAACAAGCTTCTTACCAAATTTAGCTCTTCATTCTGTCTTACTGCTTCAGAATATGAATCATCAAGTTTTTTCTGCAATTCAGTCAACAGATCTTTCAGCTGCAATGAAGTTTAGAGTTTTAAGATTGATCTCCTTATCAAAGCCCGTGTTTTGTCTGCTACTCGGAAGCTCTTCCACAAACAGCTTACACTGAATTGTTCTACCGGTCCATTATAAACTTAATTTAAATTGAGAGACAAGGTTGAAAAATTCTAAGTACCTCTCTGACTTCTGTAACATAGGTAGATCGTTCCATTTCTGCCTTCTCTAGTTCCATTTCCAAATGCTGTCGTTCTCTTCTCAGCTGGTAATGGAACAAAGAAGGAAGAGTCAACAAATCCAAGATTTCCTTTCACGATATATCCTCATAATGCAAAATTAGGATACTGAGGAATATAAAACTGGATCAACTCACGTAACTATACAGCATATTAAGAGCATAACCACATCATTAGATGAAAGTAATCTTAGAAAACCAATCTTTGGGCAACCCATAATGCCAAAAATAAGTTCAAAGATTCCAAGAGAAGAAACATACATTTTCAATATCTCTATTTTCTCTTCTTAAATGCTCTAACTCTTGCTCTGAAGATGTAATTGACGACAGCATCTAAAAATAATTTTAAGGCCAAGTAAATCACACAGGAGATAGGCAGGTGTATACAACCTGCAGCCCACCATGTTTTGTTTGTTTTTCTGGTGCTCTTTTTTTTTTTTTTTTTGAGTGAAGAGGAACTGTCTTGGCTGCATATAAAATATATAATATAGTTAATGTATACAAGTAACAAATTTCCTTTTTAATATTTTTATTATAACGTTTTTTAAAAAGAGAGGAAAAACAACCAGGCCACAGATTTCTACTGTATAAGAAGTTCTCAAATACATTCCCTTAAAATCATACTCCATTTTTAAAGACCTTAACAGTAAGAATCTTTTCACTTCGATCATCAGTTTTACTTAACCCCCAAATGCAGTAAGAGCACCACCAGTAACTCGTCAATGCTGCACATAATTGGCTTAAGAAGATACATGAGTAGCAAATGCCACAATCTACCACACATCCAAGCGAAATAGAGGAAAATGAAGACTACACAGTAATATTCCTATCTCGGGGCTGGGGATTTAGCTCAACGGCAAAGCGCCTGCCTGGCAAGCGCAAGGTCGTGAGTTCGGTTCCCGGTACCGGAGAAAAACCAAAAAA